ATATGTATAAGAAACTCAAAAAAGTCAGAGATTTCTTTCTTATATGCGTTTTGTTCTTATATGGAATTATGAGATATAAGAAAGTTGTTCCTTATAAGAGTACATATGCATATAGGAAATCTATTTCTTATACGAATATTTTTTTAAAATAAATTGTTTAAATGAAAAGCATGTTTAAAGAACAATATGTTATTAAATAAAACAATTCAGTATATAAAAATACAAAGTTAAGAAATTAAATCACAGTTTTGCAAGAAAAAATTCAGTATCTTAAAAACTAAAAATTTAAATAAACAAAAATAACAAAATTAAAATCTGTTCATAGTTTAACTAACAATATTAAATATATTTTGTGTGGCCAAAAATCTTAATATTTTCTTATATAAAACGTTTTCAAATACTTTTGTCATCTTTGGTATTTGACAAACATTTCTTATATCAGAAGAAATTTTTACACTGCGAAGATGTAAGAAGCCTCGGTGTTTTCATATATCCGAATTTTTTTCATGTTTGCAATTGTCTTGTAAGGATTAGAAGATTTTTGTTGAGAATTATAAACAGCATTTCTGTTGTTTATGAAAGTATTGTTTTATTTTATGATAACCTTGGCTGGCTTTGCTCTTGTTTTTATTGTGTCAAATCAAATACACATGCCAGCCTTTTTATAACGAAATGTTGGGGATGAATTGTGATTGGCTTGGTGTGCTCTATAACATTTGCTCCTATGGAGGACTGCTATTGACAAAATCAAGGATATGCTGAAGAATAAGTGAAGCACGTTATCTCTAGTATCTTTCCTGAAGGATATCTGCAATATAAAAAAAAAAAACTTTACAAAAATAACTATAGTACTGACGTGATTCGATGACTACTCGCCATCAGGCCAATAATTAATCCCCATACACCATGAAATTTTAAGGAACACATAATCACGTATATTGACACTGTAACAACAATAAGTGTTTCAGTCAAGGATGTCATAAAATAAAAACAAAAAATGTCTGTTCGAGTTTTAGCATACATACATCTATACATTCTAATCCTTACAAGAATATTGCAACCAAAAACAAAAGAAGCAACAAAATGCACATTCAACATTTCATAGGAATTCTTTTCAAAATCCAATATGCCAACACAACAAGTTGTTCTTTCGATTTCAAGGACCTGTCCAAATGCACTGCACCGCACATCCATAAATTGGGGAATTCCCAGTTGTAAAACTCACCACAATGTATACCAATCGTAAAGGTCGCTGCCAAAGTGAAACGATTCTTTTATGACGGTATTACTTGTGTGAGAGTTCAAATACCTGGTAAAGCATAAAAAAGGACACACACGGCAAACATCCGATCGTATTATTATAATCATAAATCTATCGTTAAGCATGACTATGTTGATAAACATATAATCTCTATTTATCTATTCAGAGCTGCAAGCATTGATATTCTAATTCTTCATACGTACATATATACATTGTGTGGCTGTCTTCATGTGCGTTCCCATGAATCCAGTCCTCCATCACTTTCTTATCATGTCCAATTGAAATAAATTGTAATAATTTTCAATTTAAAATCAATCGAATGTGATTCCTACATACAAAAGACAAAATGAGAACTTCGGCAGAAAGTGTGGTCTTCAAAAATGGCAAGATTTTTTATTTAATATGGAAACAAGCCTTCGCAGGATGTTGCATTGTCGTATATAGCGCCACCTGCATATCATAGATTTATAACATTATCCTGGCATAAACATAATCCAAGGACAACTTTTAATTAAGATTTGGCACCATAAACTGTAGTTCAGTTTTCCACCACTAGTGGTAGAACTACGTGTAGTGTTGCCAACCCTATTTACACGATTTTAACCCTTTGTTGCCCATAGGCAACAAAATGTTGTAGAGTTTATATATAATAGGTGGATACTAAATGTATATTTTTGTCTGTCTGATTATTGACGACACATATCAAAAGAAAAATATAAAAAAATCAAATTTTTGGTCAAGTTATTTGTTATTCAATACGTAGATGAGTGCAAAAAATGTGTACAGTACCAATTTGTGTATACAGTCAAAATTATTTAAATCGCTTCGTATTCGCAAATTGTTGTTGAGTTTTGTAAAAAAGAACCCAAAGGATAATTAAAAGTGATTTTTCGTCGATATTGCATTTTCCTTTGTTGATATTGGACTTTTATTTTTCGGAAAGAAGGTACTGTATCTCCGAATGCAGGGATGTAGCGACGTTAAATTTTGTTCATATCCCATTTAGGATAGTTACATTAAATCTGTGCAAAAGAAATCGGGTCTCAAAGAGTTAAAATTCATAGCCAATTTTTTTTAATACTCTACATTCAAGATGGAAATTACAAATAAGACTTTCAAAATTCTAAAAATGGGTAGGGAAACAGTATATTAATCCTCTGAGAACACGAATGACTTAATATTGAGACCCTGACAAACCATCTTAGGAGTAGTGGCCATGGTATAATTATTACAAGGTTGGGTATACCCAGCTACCAGCTGATTAAATTTTTTCTCAATGTGGCTCGTTCTTTCAAATCAATATATACATTTTGTGTATGTGTTTGTATTGTTTTGAATGTCATGTCAAATAAATTCTAATTAAATGAAAATGATTTAAAATGATTAATTACATTGTTATGCATGAAACAAATATTTCATGGTATTCCCTACTGGATTTTGAGAAGAAATCATAACCTTTCATTCATTTTTCGCGTTAATGTTTTTAAATTTTTTATTTTATTTTTGGCAATAGAAGCCACTACCTACAGTGTTGCTTTTTTTGTTATTCACCACCTCAAACCCTCCACCATAGTATGGAGGGTATATTAATTTTGTCATTCCGTTTGTAACACATCGAAATATTCATTTCCGACCCCATAAAGTATATATATTCTTGATCAGGGTAAAATTCTAAGACGATCTAGCCATGTCCGTCTGTCCGCCCGTCCGTCTGTTGTTATCACGATATCTTCCGAAGGAATTGAGATAGGGTGCTGAAATTTTGCATAGGGTTGTCTTTTGTCTGCAGGCAGGTCAAGTTCGAAGATGGGATATATCGGTCCACGTTTAGGCATAGCTCCCATATAAGGGTACCCCCCAATTTTCGGTATTTTGGGGTTGTTGAGCGCGTTTTTCAACCGAATTCGCTGAAATTTGGTACATTGTGTTCTTATTGGGTACTAAATGTCTCCACAAAAAATTATAAATATAGGTCCACTTTTTCTGGTAGACCCCATATAACGGTACCTCCTAATTTTCAGTATTTTGGGGGTTTTGGTCGTATTTATCCACCGAATTGGCTGTAATTTAGCCCCCTTTTTGGGGTAGTCCCCATATAACCCCCTTTTTTATATTAAAATAGTTATCTAATTTGTTCCACGTTTTGGGTTTGGTTCTAAGAGTCTGTCGTAATCATTTAACCTGCGGAGGATATCGAGATAAAGCTAGAACGTAAGGTTCGATAATGAACTATACATGAACTATAACCCGCATTGAGACCTAGCACCTGTATGGGAGGTATCAGAGGGAGTGGACCGATAGTCCACAAGGGAACTAGTTACCATAATTAGATACTTGTTCCCTGCCTTATCTTGTCTTAAGTCGTTTCCTACGGTGAATTCTCAGTTTCTCTTATATTATATTTTTATTTAGACTGATTTCTCTTCTATTTTCACTTCCACCAAGAAATACACACAAGACTCTCGTTAAATTTTCTCATTTCACTATCTATGTTTTTTATCTGGCAACACTTTTCGAAAATGGCGCGAAAATATGTTTTGCTGCGAGGTTAGTTGTTGCTAGTGATTAAAAAAAATATCCAACCAATTGTTGCTTCCTAATCTAAATTTTTTGCCCTTCAAGGACTCGAAATGTCAAATTTCAGAAATTTCGTTTGATCACATTTGCCACCTTCAAAATATCGAACATTGCTGCGTTTTAGTAATATGAAAGCTAAACCAAAAACGTGGATCAAAGTTTTGGCGTTTTTAATATCAAAATCTTAGGACTAATAGCAATGTATGTATCAAAATGTAAAGTTCTATCTTAAATAATGCTATCTCTGTCGAGGTTTTAACAGGCGGATGGACGGGCATGTCTAAATCTACATAGAACTTTATTCTCATAAATAATAAAAATATACATTATGAGCTTCGATTGCAAAAGGAATGCCATAATGAAAACATCCTCCATCTTATGACAGCGGTATACAGATCTTCGAATAAGAAATAAATTATTCCACTAAGTTCCTTCTAATTTTGCCCACACCAAATAAATGTGTATACTACTCTCCTTTCAGTATCTCCTCATTTGTATCTGGCAACACTTTTCAAAAATGGCGCGGAAATATGTTTTGCATCAGTTATATTTGTTGCTGTTGGTTTTACAAAAAAAAAATCCAACCAACTGCTGTTTGCTAATCTAATCGAACAATAGAAAAATTGTATTCATATTTGCACGGTTGATCTCCCATTTCAAAGACCTCGAAAACGCAAACCTTAACGAGAATTTGCCCGCCATAAATTCAGGTAAGTGTACATAGCCATCCATTGGTTACAAGCAGCTACCCTTACCCTTAACAAGAAAACGAAATAGGATCTATTTTCATTTCAGTTAGAATGGCAGATCACCGCGTACAAATATTTACTACCCTTATATGAGGCAGCATACAAACACACACACACAGGAACACTGTTACTTAGGTAGGTGATGTGAGCAAAAGGATGTGTAATGGCACTCATGCAACAACACAGACAACAAGTACAAAGGATCTGTTGTTGTAATCCTGTATGTATGCTACTGCCAAATCGAGTGTATCGTATATTATGTGCCACTGCCAAACAAACTCCAGTCAGTACTAAGTGGAACATCAGAGAGAGCAGAGTGCCACCGCCGCAAAGAAATCAATTGAAATAAAAATAATATTCTGGTTTGAATTGCATATTTAAAGCTGCTGCTTTGCGATATACTACAAAATAGAATGGATTCCAAAATAGTAAGTTGTTGTAAAGCTAATAAGCAAGGGAAGTTTTTTCTAAAACTAATTCTCCTCCTTTTGATTTTTCTAGATCTCCTCACAAATTATCATCAAGCCACAACAGAATACTGCCACCAAAATAATGGTGGCTAATGGACAAAATTTCAAACGAGTTCCAGATGTTTATGAACGCCCCCTGATGGTAAATGCCTGGTGTCAAACGACAAATGATGACTTCAAATTCCTTTACGAATTCGAACACAAAAAAGAACAGACCAAACGGGAAAATGAACTGTTGGAAAAAATACGCATTCTGGAAGAAAATCTTAAGGCCCACACCGAATTACTTTCTCAAATACATGCAACATCGGCAAGGACTTCGGCTCTGCTAGGACAATCCGCAACTACCACTACAACAACAGCAGCATCTACTACTGAGCAACTCACCATCAAACCCATACAAATACAAACTATCGAATCACAGTCCTCATCTACAATAAATTCCTATAAAGTCACCGAATCCAGTCCAAGACTTAGCAAAAGTTCACACAACTCTCCAACTAGCTCAGTGATAAATCCAATTCATCAAATTCCTTCCAACCACACAGAAAGCATAAAATACACCATAATTGCAGAGGGGGCTGGAGATGCCCACGGCGAACCAATAGAAATACAATTGGCCGAAGATGATGGTGCTTTGAATCTAAATAACTCTGCAGATTCCGATCGTTTGGAAATATGTTTGGCATCGGATGATATGGAAATTAAAACGGAAACAGTGCAAACAACTCTTCCAACAACAACCACAATTACTCCCCTGTCACGCAATAACTCCAGTGAACAGAACTTCTTAAAACGTAGGCGATTGCCGGCAGATGAAAATGAAGAACCAATGGAAAATTCCTTTTACGAACCAACACAAAGGAGACACAGCAACAACAATCTGGCAAACATCAAAACTGAAAATGTCTACGCCACACCTAAACAACAATCGTCACCATCGCCAGGAAATAACATGGACACGGCGGAATACAAACTTAACATAGACAATGTTATGGTGTCGATTGGTCCCAACAATACCAGAATACCCGCCAAAATCTATGAAAGTATGAATTGGAGTTCGGCATCGATTGCAACGCGTAAACTACTCATGGCCATATTCGATCGCAAAACCTTGGCAACGCATTCGATGACGGGAAAACCATCACCAGCCTTCAAAGATCATGGCAAGCCATTGAAACAAATGTTAGATCCATCGGCAATACAGGATATTATTTTTGCCGTGACGCGTAAATGTAATGTCTCGGAAAAGGAGGTGCGCAATGCCATTACCACAAAATGTGCCGATGAAAATAAAATGATGAAACTGCAATTGAACAAGCGTACACCAATGCGTGAAATCAAAAAGGAAAATAGTATTACCGTTAAGACGAATATGATGATGTAATTGATTGAGTTGGTGGTCGTGGTATAGCCTCATCCACAAAGAAGTTGAATATTTTTTAAGCCTCTGTTGTAAATCCCAAGGAATTTTGTTCTAAAAGTTCTTAAAGCACTTGAGTACAAATTTATTAGACACAAAAAAACAAACAAACTAATAATTACGAATTGAAATGTATTTATTATTAAGAAGATGAAAAATAAAACCAAATATTAATATTTAATCTAAATCAATGTTTGCTTTTTTGGCATAAACCAAACGAACAAAAATAATTAAATTTTACAAATTTAATGGAGTACGGGACTAACAAATCTCATAGCATCCTTCATCGATAATTAAACATTCATTAAAAAAATTCTAAAGGAGATGACATTTTGAATGAAAGGCATTCTTTATGTCTGAAGTGACAGACGTTGGCCGAATAAAACTCGGGTCGTTGGGGATTGTAGACCCCTCTGTCGTGGAAACAAAGTCTAGACCTGGACTTCGCTTTATAAGTATTCCTTTTGCTTTTATTCCCTCCACCGTTTGCTATTATTTGAAATATTCGTCATAAAAGTTTTGGGTCAGTTTTTGCAAAATTGTCAGGCTGAATCCCAGTTTGTTGTTTTTTATAAGAACAACTATTTATTAGTGGGAAAAGTATGACATTGTCCATCAAGGTGTAAAATTCTATATCGATGTCCATCTGTATCAAAATCGAGTTTTGAAAATTTTGCACAAAAATTGCTATAACATCAGGGATGTTTGATATTAAAATATCGATCCCCCTTTTATAGTCACATTTCCAACCGAAGGTGGAAATTCAGTATGTAAATGTTTTGATTGAATCCATATAAAGGTCCCAGTGCATATGGAGGCGAAAGTTGCATTTGCAGAACATTGTCAATATTAGTCCATGTTTTGAAGACTCGTCTAATGGAATTCTGTCCCCATATTTACATATTGTTTCTTGTTAAGAAAGACCCCTACTTGGTTCGATTATTATTATGAAGTTTTCTCCACAGACTATTCAATAGAGAGTAAAAAACAATGTAAACAAGCCAAAGTTAGGTCCTTTATATGGTCCTAGACTTATTTTTTCAACTGAAGTGCCCGTGTTTTGCCATTTGGCAAATTACAAAATTTTGAAAGAGCACTATATACTGAAGTTAAAATAAAAATTATTACAGTTCTTTGTCAGAATTAAGTCTAGTAAAGAAACCACCAAATTGCTATTTTCAAAATTTACTGCTTTTGGCATCATACACTCTGGTAAGGGCGATACATTTAACTACACATAAATAACTGTAAACAATTGTCTCCGTATAGTATATTTGTATTTTTTTTAATCCAACTATTGTTGTTTTGTTTCTACAACTAAGACGATTTACAATTTTAAAAGAACAAACACAAATCCTCCCACATACATATTCGTAAAAAAACGAAGAACCAAAACTAAAATCAGCAGGTACAAAATAAAAATCTATTTCCTTCAAGGTCATTAGATGGCCGACTAAGTTATGGCGGCAGATTCTATGATCATCGATAGTAGAAACATTCTCAAAATCTACCTGTCATAGATTGCAATTCCAGGAACTGGCATTTCTTATAAGACATATGGTGTGCTGTACATGTTCCAGCTGCACTAAATCCTGTCGTTTTCCTAGAAAAATGTAAGTATCAAATCTTATTCGACAATGGATGTATTGTGATTAGAAACGTTTGATTTTAAAAATAACATCACAATGTGCAAGGATATTTCGAAAGCCGAAGCTAATATGGTAAATAATGTTATGTATAGGTTCCTATTAGCACATAAATGTTCACGTTCTCAGAAGAAGATCCTGACTCAATCTCATACGTTGTCCGATCATTATTAGTTAAGAAATTATAACATTGTGGCTGTATCAATGTTAGAAGCACGATGAATCCGCTTAAGTGCAAGACATAGGATCTATGTTTCATGACGGCCCGAATCTTACACGGCCAATGAATATCATCTCAGCCCATTGTGTAAGAACAGAAGGGTAGCTACAGTCGCTTTATTGACTATTTAATAACATTATTGGGCCGCTTGAAAGTATAAATGGAATGTGCCTATAACCATCAAAGTACCTAAAATAGAACGGGGCTATGCCCAAAGATTGAACTATTTTGAACATTTTCTAGAGAGATGTCAAGAACATATAATGCCAAATTATAGCTGCTTTGTAAAAATGGCGATATCATGATTTCGTCAGACAGACAGAAGATCTCACTTTAACAATTTTTAAGCTTTTGTACTTCAACTTCGTTTGCATACTCAAAAATACTTCTACAATTTACGAAGTTCTCTTTAAACCTTTTTACTCGACAAGTTTTGCCAAGTAAAAATGTTAATTTCTTCTTGGCTAATATATATTGAAATTTAAAGTGTTCCCATCAATTTGTGTGATATTTTTTCGTGGTTCAGATTTAAATATAGCTCCCACGTATATATTTCGTCTGATTCTATGTAAGTACAGATTGACCTGCGTGAAGTTTTGTTGTGCGTTTAGATATAGCTTCCACATATACTATCCGCCCATTTTATGAAAATGGCGCTCCAAACTTCCATCGGTTTGTCTGAATGAGACGAAATTGTACATAACGTACCAAATTGAGTCTAGACTGACGTGTGTTGAGTTTCGTTCAAATCGGTCCTGATTTATATGTAACTCCCCCATCTATGTTCGGTCGATTTATTTAAAATTTGCACCAAAATCCCAAAAGTTTTTACAATTGAGACGAAATATTGCATAGTTTACTAAATTGAGTATTGAAATTCACCACACCTTGGTACAGGGTATTATATATTTGCCCATATGGGATTATATTAATTTGTTGGTTCTTATATCTTTGTAGATCACATAAAGAATTTCTTCCGATTCTATGTCAATAGTCCTCCAAAGATGCTATGTATGTTTCATCGACAGCATATTGTACGTAGGAGCATCTCTGTATGAACCCAAAGTGGTGAAGAGTATCATATAGTCGGCTCCGTCCGATTTTCGAACTTTCCTTACTGGTTTTTATTATTTTTTTGTACTCTAGAAGTGATTTTAATAATTACGGATATTCTCATGCATTATAGTACTTTTACATTCTACCGGATATCCTTAACCCAGTTAGTTCCAATTGTCAATTCCGTATATTGTCAATCAAATAAATCAAATGTAAATACCGTTTTAGTCCGGGAAATCTTCATATGACATGTTAGAAAAGTTCTCCGGTTTCAAATCCCGCTATAAGTATAGGACAAATAATCTCATAAGACTCAAAATACATGCCAAGAATAAATTTCTCGTTTTGTCTTCTGCTAATAAATGTTACGTTAGATTTACGTTTTACTAACTCCATTTTCTAATTGGTACTTTCCTTCATCTGGCAACAACGAAAATATTCCATAAATTCCCATGGGGATTTAATATGACCGCCATTACTTTAAATTAAATTATGTATGGGAATTTTGATCATTAGTCATGGCCTTATTTCGGTGGTCCCGGTATATTATAGTAGCAGTAGTCTATTAACCGATTTTTGACTTCGCCTTATTCATTGTATGTACATTTATGCCTGTTGCAACAATTGGATACGTCGCCGTCCATCCAATTGGCATCTGGTTACATCTGGCAACGATAGGAATTTAGCGCGTAAAAATATGTTTTGTTTTCAAAAATTGATCCAGCTGCTTCATTCAAACCAAGCCGGCCGGCCATCCAACCTAAAAGACAGCCAAATCGTTGTAATTATTTTCCTTGTTCATACGAGTGTCAGTGTGTGTGTTTGCGTGTTGTTCCGCTTTATTAGATTTGGCGCGTTCTATTCAGTTACCTACTCTATACCTATTAAGGGAATAGGATTTCATCACAGTCAGAACTAAGTACATAGCATTTTCCACCCTTAATTCCATGCAGCCCTTACGATCGCGTGTATGAGCTGTGTGCAACAAGAACTAGAAATTTAGGTAGACAAACAATACAAAGGATACAGGAACGAACAGCAGGCAAGCTAATGAGACCTATTTACTTGCAGCAGCGGCAGCAACAACAAATTCAATAGTCCTCGCCATGTGTGTATATTCAAATACGCTCATGGAATAAACCGTCAGTCAGTATTGAACAAACCAACGAGGAGTAAAGTGCCCTTGCGAAAAAACCCGTCGTGTTCCAAATAGAATATTTTCTCACCAGTCGTTTAAATACAAAACCGTGCTATTAAATATGGATACAAAAATTGTAAGTAAAGAGCCACGATCGTGATGCAATTCAATTGAATTTCTTCATCTAATAATTAACTTTCATTCCTTTAGATATCATCACAAATAATTGTAAGACCACAACAACGGATTCCAATAAAAGTGGTCACAGCCTGCGCACAAAATTTCAAAAGAATTCCAGAACAAAAATATGAACGTCCTCTTATGGTGAATGCCTGGTCTCAGACAACTGGCGATGATTTCAACTTCCTACACGAACTTGAACAAAAGCAAAAATCATCAAAACGCGAAGAAGAGTTATTGGAAAAAATTCGTATACTCGAGGAGAATCTTAAAGCCCATACAGAATTACTATCGCAAATACATGAAACCTCAGCTCGAACATCTGCATTGCTTGGAGGACAATCAAATCAACAAATAATGAAACCTATACAAATACAAAGTATTGAATCACTTCAAAACACCAAATCACCTTTATATTCGATCCCAAAAGTGGAACGTGCTGCTGAATCCGTTGCATCGAACCGTAATTCAATGCAAAACAGTACATCGATATCACCGAAAAGTGTTAGCTATACCATTATAGCTGAGGGTTCGGGTGATGGTAACCACGAACCCATCGAAATACAATTGGCCGAAGATGATGGTGCTTTAAATCTAAACAGTTCAGCAGATTCTGGCCGTTTGGAAATATGTCTTGCCTCGGATGATGTGGATATGAAAACTGATGCAACACATAACAACAACAACTCGCATATATCCCGTACCGATTCAATGGCATCACTCAATAGTAGTACTGAACATAACGGCAACAGAAAGCGAAAGTTTGACGCCTATGAATCGGGAAAAGAGAATCAAAGTACAAACTATTATTTCAATGAACAAGGTGTTCTAACTCATTCCAATAAAAAACACAGTATCAGTGAACAAACACCCCAGAAAAGTCTACTAAAACCAATAAAATCCGAAAATCTTATGGCCTCAACAAATGACTATACCAATTACAACACTCCCACACAGAATAACATATCTTTGGACAATAAAATCAATAAAGATTATGTTATGGTTTCGATTGGACCAAATAATACTAAAATACCAGCTAAGGTTTATGAGAGTATGAACTGGAGTTCGGCATCAATTGCAACGCGAAAACTCTTGATGTCGATATTCAATCGTGAAACATTGGCAACACATTCTATGACAGGTAAACCATCACCGGCCTTTAAGGGACATGGAAAGCCTCTTAAACAAATGTTGGACCCCTTGGCAATACAGGATATCATTTTTGCGGTTTCGCGGAAATGTAATGTATCCGAAAAGGAAGTACGCAATGCCATTACGACCAAATGTGCCGATGAGAATAAAATGATGAAACTTCAAATGAACAAACGAACACCAATGCGTGAAATGAACAAAGAAAATATCGAATATAAGTAGTTATAAGACGTAGAGGATATTTTGGATATAGACGTAGAGGATATATAGGATATAAACTGCAATCCATAGGATTGTGGCGCCAGCCATATTTGTTAATATTTTGTTACTTTTTCTTCAATACAGCACTAAGGTACAAATTAAATAGTTCTCGAATATCAATTTTTTCACTATCTATAAAAAGTGGTGTCAATACAACAGACCTAAGATAAAAGAACCAAACTATGTATAAAATATTTTTAATATAATATTTAAATATGTACCTTTGTAAAATATTATCTAATAATTATTTTTGTTTAAATTTGTACTTAATATATTTAATAATAAATACATACCCATACTATAATAGGGTAAATAATTTATAAATAAAAATTTCGAGTTTCATACATAGTTAAATAATAATCGAAGGAAACCCATGGGAGAAAAAATAGAACAATTTTCAATATATATATATATATATATATATATTGTAAGTTTAATGTATGACCAATATGCAGCGTGACCGTTGTGCCACTAAAGTGGCAATTTTGCCACTTTTTTCCGCCTTTGCTACTTTTGTGATACTTTTTCATTTTGATACAAAATGTGCCACTTTTTGAATTTTTGTGAAACTTTTTGTTACTTTGTGCCACTTTTTTAAAAAAGTACATAAATTAAAGCTATTTTTCATAAAACATAAGGCGGAGCGATTTTTAACTAGGTTGCGTTTTTTAACAGACGGAGCAATTTTTAACTAGGGTTCTGTTTGTAACAGACGGAGCTATTTTTATTATTATTATTATTAGGTCGCATTCGCATTTGTGTGTTGGTCTGTTCCCGTACTGCAAGAATCTACTAGATTTTACTATTTTCTTCGATAACATAAAGGAAAATTCGTTATCGTAGTACGGGAACAGACCATGTGTGTTTCGATTTGTAGAATTTTCGATTGCTATTTGTGAATAACAGCCTGTTTTTGTAAAATTCCAAACGAACGAATTCGAGTGACTTACGACCAAACTCCTTGGTTTTAAAAAATATGTCATTTATTTTTGTTTTGAATCAGAAAACCTTTATAAACATAAATAAAGGTTCGGTCGTAAGTCACTCGAATTCGTTCGTTTGGAATTTTACAAAAACAGGCTGTAAGTAATTAAAAAATAATGTTATTCAATAACAATATATGGTCTGCTCCCTTATGCCATGTACAGACGAGCGTTGTTCGCTCTCTCATTCGTTGTTCGACCCTTAATTATGAAGTAATTACTTAGTTCCCCATACAAAATTGTCTGAGCGAACACCGACTTTTGTACGTTGTTCAATTCGAATCACTCTCTGAATCACCAAGAAATTTGTCCCATCCCTAACAACTGAGAGCATTTATCGAAAATAAATTAATTTTGACAGCTTGAAAATATTTATAAAATTTTCAAACTTTTTTAGTAATATTGAGAATTATGAATGAAAAGTAAAAAATTGTCTAGTTTTTATATATGCAGCAGGATGTAAATTTTGATATCTACATAATGCAATGTGAATTTCTTTCCCCATGGTTTTAATTAGCGTACAAAACAAGAAACAAATTTGAGGACACTCAAACAAAAAATTCCCCAAATTTTTATATGTGACATTTGAATTTAGAAAATATAAAAATGTATGAAAACAACAATATTTTTAGAAAAAATGGAAAACATGAATTAAAAGTAAATAGATATGGGTTCATACTATAGTCAGGAGAAAGAGAATTAATTTTTCTATTTAGATCTATATTTGATTCATGTAAATATGTTAGAATTTTGGTGTAAAACAAGAAACAAAAAGTTTGAAATAAAAAACTCTGATGAAATGAATTAGGAATAGTGTTGTATGAACGGGTTAATTCATGTACGTAATTCTGAGAGCGAACTACGTTGTTCGAATGCCCGTCAGAACATGGCATTACTGCAAGAATCTACTACTTTTTACTACGATAACGAATTTTCCTTTATGATATCGAAATAAATAGTAAAATCTAGAAGATTCTTGCAGTACGGGAACAGACCAATAGTATATATCGCTTATATATTGTAAGAATATGTGATTTTATTTAGTTTTTTTTTTCAGTTTACTGTATATTAAAATACACATAAATGAATTATTTGTAATGTTTTATATATGGTATGTTCCCGTACTGCAAGAATCTACTATTTTTTACTCCGATAACACTTTTTTCCTTTATGATATCGAAGAAAATAGTATAATCGAGTAGATTCTTGCAGTACGGGAACAGACCAATAGTTTTTTATTAAATTAAAAGTAAAAAAAGTGTGCCACTTTTTGTGACACTTTTTCAGAAGTTATCTGCAATTTTTTTTAAAAAATGATACTTTTTGTGATACTTTTTGAAAATTTTCAGCGGTCACGCTGCCAATATGCTTCATTCCCAATAACAAATTTCACCTAGCGACAGGTAGCCAATAGAAAATAAATACGAAGGAAACAAACCTAACTACATAAAACAGCTTCCAGATGTCGCCGCAATATACAATAATAAAAATAAGAATATGTCAAAAGAACAAAAAAATAAATAGTGTTGCCACTGGACTATCTTCTCGTTTATGACATTTCTATCGTATTTAGAAAATACACAGAGAGAGAGAGAGAGAAAACAATTCTCGTAAATAACATTTTTTGAAATAAACAATAAAAATTGTGTGACATAAGGGTTGTTGGATACCAACAAATCATCCAAAATTTATTGTAAAAAACAAAACATGCGCATTACAAAACAAACCATAACACAACTAACCACGTAAAAGCAAGCAACCATCCATCCAACCAACCACAGAGAATACATGAATATTCCTGCTCTCGCCTTACAACTAGATCATTTCATACGGTTTTGACAGATTAGTTTGGACAGACGTAAAGGACAGACGTATTATCGTGCGGAAAAATAATCGGGAAGATATTGTGTAAAAAAATTAGTTGGAAAATTGCAAGTGTTTTTCAGTGAATATAAGTGCAACCCCAAGCAAAATAATAGAACAAACAACAACAACTGAGAAGTGTCAAGAAAAACCAACAGACAAAAGAAAGGAAAACAGCAACAAAAACATTCGAGCATATTCTGCTGCTAGCACAACGAAAAGAAAAGATTAAAAAGCTAATTACAAAAACAAACTGCAACAAGAATCTGTAAGATACTTGGGGGTTTTTTAATTTCTTTTATTTCCAATTTGTTGGTGTTTAATAGTATATGTACGATATATAGTAAATGAATTGACCAGCTGATAGAGAATATAATTTCAAATAATCTATCGCTCATAAGAGAACAAGAAGAAAATCAATAAACCAAAACAGCAAATTTTTGCCTGTGTGCCTCAGCAGCAGATATATCTATTAAATTTCCTGGCCAACAAATTTCTGTTGCGGTGGTGCGATGCCTCCTCCGTTTATCGTCCGTCTAATACACACGCACACACATACTAACCAAATATATATGGACCATTTCAGTATAGACAATTTTATTGTTATTGTTGCAAAAGTTACCATACCATTCACCCGTAAGGAAGGATGTATGCACGGTTGGTTGGTTGATGGCAAAATGGAGGCTGCGCAGTACCAAATTTTTTCAAAAGGAAAATTTTTGAATTACATTTCTACAACAATTTTGTACATAACATAATGACCTGGGATTTTATTGCTCACGAAAGTGTTCGTCCTTTGAAATTGTTGTAAATCTAGATCGCTTTGTTTTTTTTTTTTTGAGGAACTATTTATTTATTGTTGCAATAATGGACCTCCAAATATTTGATGTGTTAAGTAATAAACAAAGTTTTCTAATTCTGGTGTTGGCGTCTGACCAGAGTATACATAGGAGTCTTATATCCGCGTCCGAATACTGGCCACCCATAGAAATTCTTATTTATAAACCACACATTACACGGACATTAGCTGTTTCAAAATGACTGCCGAAATGCTTTATTTATTTTTAAAACCTATGATATCAGTGTCCTATACATCTGGAAGTTTGAACTTCATTAATCATTGATATTTTCCACTTCTTCTGGTACCTCTCCCACAAAATGGTATTTTTTTTTTTTTTTTTTTTGGAAATATAAGTCTAGTTAGGATTTTGCTGAAAACTCAAATTGTTTAATATTGGATCGAAAAGAATTTTTTTCTTTCCTATAGGCTATATTCTATTAAATTGACATCATTCTATCTGATTCTGGGCTGACTAAATGATATCCTTACAATTGCATGTCAATGTTCCCTCGAAGGAACAAACTCATGTCTTTCTGCAACCTATGCTAAATTAAATTTCATTCGGCGTCTGCGTACCATGGGACAAATTTAGCAAAATTGATACCCGCTATTCGGTACGCGGCACTGTTAAAAATTTAATCTCAATCAAGACCCGTTCGAAATACCTATGGAAGCTATGGCTGCATCTCCGCCAATTTCAACAAAACGCAATAACGTCATTCAATTTTCAATTTGATACGTTGTTCAAAATTTCGTGTTAATCGGACAAACATTAGGAGTTTGGTGCACCATTTATGTAAAATCGGAAGAATGTATATGTGGGAGCAAAATCGAAATCTGAACCGATTTCTACAAAATTTAACACACAGTAATTCAGTACGTTGTGCTGAATTTCGTGCAAATCGAAGAATATTTAGGTACTTTGGTGCACCATTTTCTTTAAATCGGACGAAAATATATACGGGAGCTATATCTAAATCGGATCCGATTTTTTTCCAATTTCAATAGGGCTTGACCTTAGGCTAAATAAATGAGCTGTGCCAATTTTCATCCAATTCGAATCAAAAATGCGACCTGTACTTTGTTTAAAATTTAACATGGACAGACGGACGAATATGCATAAATCGACTTAAAAAGTGATTCTATGCATATTCTTAAAAGGAACCATGTGTCTATCTCGTTTCCTTTTGCCTGTTACAAACATATGCACAAAGACATAGAGTAACTTCGGGTAATGTGGACCAACATTTACATTTAACCGGATTTCGTTAACCCAGTGGG